CAGTAGCATGGTTGCTTTTCTGGGAACTGTTTTACAGTAGAAATGCGTGATTAAAATCATGCTTGTTAACTCTTACTAATTTCTGCCCTTGATTTGCAGTTTTTGTACTAATGTAGCTTCCATCCCCTCTCAGTCTGCCTTGCTGCGGCTGTTGGAACAGTCAGGTAGGAAACATCCTGGTGGAAGGAGCACAAACTAAGGAGCTAGGAGGAAAGCTTGCTAGCTTCCTTTTTTTTTTTTTTAAGCTAACTTCCTTCCATCAGCATTTGTTGCAGTTGTGACCACAAACATCTTGGGAAGAAGCAAGAGCTTGCACAAAAGATGGAAGTGTAAATACCAAAGGGGAGCTGCAGGAGGATGATGCGGGGCTCGGAGGACATGGTTGCTGGTAGGGAGCAGTGGGGAACTTGCCTCGCGGAACACAGCCCTTCTGCTGGAGGAGGGTGATGCTGGAGTGACAACCGAGCCCCTAGGAAGAGGAGGCGAACTGGTGACTAAATGATCTGGGAGAGAGGCAGAGGAGGCAACAGGAAAAAGAGCATCCCTAAGAACCTTAGAATTAAATGGAAGTGAGCTGGAACATAACTGAAATTTGGAAATAGAAGGAGATGGAAGAGAAGTTTTAGGCTTTTGTTACGGTGCTAATGCACGGATACGTTGAAGCTTGAGTAGCCCTGTGGTACAGGCCTGTGCCCCTTCATTGCTGATGGTAAAAGAAGGAGCTCTGCCAGAGAGCCTTGTTCTTTCTCTGCTTTCAGGAAGGTTAATTTAACAAACTTTAAGCAAAATATAAGTCTTTGTGCTGGCTCTTCTCCACATGGTCATCTCATCTCTAGATGACCATGCTTATCAGGCTGCTAACTACTGTGTTCTTGTGTTGTAGGTGTTTTTTGATGTCTTGGAATTATCTAGTAATGTTTCTGCAAATTAGCCAATTTGGAGATCGAAGTTCTGCTGAAAAATATGAAAACCAGAGTCTTCTGAGTGTCTTTCTTGCCCCTACCTGCCCCCTCATTTCACACAGGAAAACCCCGGCAGGGGGCAAGTTGAAGGGCTCTCGGTGCTGAATTTGAAATTTGTGGGTTTCAGAAGCTTCAAGACTGGTGGTTTCATTTTGCAGAATGAATGTGCGGTGCAAAATCTTTACTAGATAACAGTTCACTAGTTGCTCTTGAATTGTTTCATGTCCTTTTAGTGTCTGGAAAACTGAGTCATGTTGAATTTAATTCTTAGGAGACAAAACAAATTTTTGTTTTTATTTTTTTACTGCTACTGTGAGCAGTAATTGATCTTGTGTATTGTTCCTCCTGACTTTTGCCTGCATATTTACTTCAAGCACTGCCACATAAGAAAAGATCAATCTTTCTATCTTTGCAGATTGTGGGTTTGTAGTTGCTTGAAGCCCATCTTTACCACAAAACAACAAGAGAACTTCAGCAGTCTGTTTCAGTGGCCCTGATTTTCAAAAGTGAAGTGAAGGTTAAAGAGCACGCCTAACGTTTCCACTGTTGTCACAATATGTACTAGGCCACAGCTTTAAAAAGAAATAGTACAACTTAGCTGTGGGATCCATTTAGTTACATGAGTGTAGCTGTATACATAAAAATACTGTGAACCAAAAGCAGCCTTTAAAAAAATACAAGTTTTATACAAGTTTTCAAATGATAAGGTGACAAGTTTCTATTTGATTTGAAAGGGTCACTAGGCATTTCTTAAAGTTTTGGTCAAGTATCTATTAATTTAACCTCCTCCTAATTATCCTCCTGCTAATAGCTTGTAAAAAACAAAACAAAACAAAAACAAAAAAACCACCAAAGGTTGTGTTTTTGCTTTGCTTTCTTTTTGCTGTTGTACTCAGCTCTGATGTGTTATGGGATCTGTTGAGAAAGAAATACTAAAGTAAAATGATAAAGCAAGCAGCTGGTGGGATTGCAGTTCCTTAGTGCTTTTTGGGACACTCCAAGTTGTACATGCTCAGCGCAGCTGCCCTAGTTTGGCATCTGAACGGTCTGCACGGAGTCCTTCCCGCTGCCTCGTGGCTCCTGCATGAGCAGACGAGCAGGCTTCAGCCTTGGCTGCAAGCTCCAGGTAGGATTTTGCCTGCACCATTTCCTCCATGTGGGTTTGGCCCAAGTGGAGCAGTGGAAATAATAAAAAAATGTGTTACATTTGAGAAACTTTCTCTTCCCATTCCAGCTTGCTGCTGTGCTCTCACGGTGGTGATGGTGGCTGCACCACCAGTAAGTAGTGACCTAGCAGTGTTAGCCAGAATAATCAGTACATTATTCAATTAAAAATCCCAAATCTGCAAGCAAATATGGATAAAAACAGAACTGAGTCTCTGTGCGGGCAATAAAAATTTGTATTTGTGGATTTAGAGATATGGAGAATCTGAGTAATAGCCATATAGCTAATGTTCCCATTTCTGTTGTCTTAAGGGTGTAAAAGTAGTCATTAGCTGCTTTCTCAGAATTTCACTTTATTGTTGCAGAATTTTCTTCGCTCTTCAAAATGGAATCTGATAGATTGTTTTGGTGTTGATTGGATGATTATAGATGAGTCTTTCTTTCCTATACATTGAAACACATGTGAAATAGTGGGTAATTCTGTGGAGCAAAACTGCCTCTGTGTGTGTGTGTGTGTGTGTGTGTGTGTGTAGCAGGGGGAGGCTGATTCCTCTGAGCACGGAGCCCTGTGGTTGTTTCAAGTCATGTGGATTAAAACTCTTGATTGCACCTATCTTGCCTCTAGCTTACAAGTACTGAAAAGAAAACCATTGATAGAGAAAATAGCAGTCAACAGTGTGTAGGCTTCTTGTATAAAGCTACTTTTTTTAAACCAACTCTTCAAGGACAGGTGGATCCTTGCCTGTTTTAAGTTAAGTTGCAGTTGTTCTGGAACATTGTAACATTTTGATGGTTTTTATGGTGACACCTTTTTAGGAATCCGTTCTAGGCAGTGTTTTTATTACTAGCTCTACCTTATTTTTGAATGTGTTATTTTTACTGTTTCAACATTAAAACTGTATTGTAAGCCTCTCGTGTATGCAGATGCTCCATCCAAATTGTAACCACTTCAGAAGTAGGATGAGCTGTTCAATTTGTAGGACCTCAGATCTCTGTGGGAGTTGGAACATTTTATTAAAAACTGCTCCCTACTACCTTATTTTACCCTGGTGATAGTGGGGTGGAAAAAGTCTGTCCCTAAAGTTTTGGGGAGGAGCTATTATGGAAAAAAAAAAAAAAGGCATTTACAGTTATATTCCAGATTTTCATCAATCAATACATCTGTCCCAATTAAAAAACTTGCCTTTTTTTAATGGGTGTGTTTTTTTTTTAATAGTAACAATGTTTTTAATAAAATCAGTAACCAAGTGTATGAATGCATTAAGTCAATTTTGTGTATAGGGACAGAACATCTTGTGCAGTGTTAGAAGGCCTGAATCTGGCGTCGCTGCTCACTGAAGGATGCAGTTTTGGGGAGGTGGCTCCTACCATAAAGCGAGAGCCCGCGCTCCTGGGCCAGCTCCGCGCGAGCCGGGCGCACAGAGAGCGCGGCCGGAGAGGACGGCGCGCGCTCGAGTGCCGCTTGGGCTCCGCTTCCATCCATACTCGGGAACAGAGGGATTGGGAATGCGGGCGCTGATGAGCGTAGTTCTTCTCTTCAGTCATGGATATGGTCCTCACAAATTCCTGCCATTAATGGAAGTGAAAAGCCTGAATGCTGGAAAGCTTAAAGTGCTGCAGCCGGGAAAACCTGGATTTAATATATCAAATAAAGACTTCCTTGGTGTTTGGATTTTATACCCAGGACAGACATGAAGTCTTCTAATTTTTTTCCAGTTGAAGAGGGGGAAAAGCAATAACATAGTCTGTCCTCTTGACTTTTCATGGTGGTTTTATTTTTGTGAGTCATAGTCATCCTCTTCAGAAGCGAATTCCTGATAGTGTCCCTCTCCAGGGCCAGTGTGCAGTGTGATATTAACTGCCTAAAGTAATAGAGATTTCACTGCTTCTCTTGGGAAACTGTTGATGCTAAACAGCTTTTCTGGATAGACACTGTAATTTTTACTAATTCAGTGGGAGCCTTGTTTGTACGTGCAATTCTTAGGAAGTTTTGGGGTTGTCATTTGTCACAGATGTCAGCTTTAGAGATTCTTTTGTTTGTTCGTATGTTTTGGTATGTGCAGGGAAAAACTACATAGATTAACATTTTTTGGATGCTTGCATATATTCCCTCTGATTCCACATCTGATTTTGTGCACATAGTAAACAAAATATAGTATTGAAGGGTTGTTGTATTTTCCAGATTTTTTTAAGCATTGGAAAAAAGTAGCCTTCTGTCAGTACAGATTGAGAAGGGTAATCTTATGCTCTCTCTTTCATTTGCATGAAATGTCGTTAAGTTGCAAGGCTTGAGATAAAAAGGAGATGCAAAAAGCCAAATATTTTTTAAATGATTTTAAATTTGATTAAAGTTACAAAATTGAGAGTTGAATATTTAGCAACATTAAGTGGAATTTTGGCTCTATGAATACAATGATGGGTGCGTGACATATGTTTTCTTTTTTCTTTTTTAATGTTCCTTCTGGATCAAGAAAATTATAATAATTTCATTCATTCTCTTCCAGATGGGAATGACAGGTAACACTAGTCCCTTTGGGCAGCCTTTCAGTCAAACTGGAGGGCAGCAGATGGGAACTACAGGAGTGAATCCTCAGTTACCAACCAAGCCAGGCATGGCAAATAGTTTGTCTCCCTTTCCTACTGACATCAAGAATACTCCAGTCACCAGTGTGCCAAATATGGTGAGTTGTCTCATTCTATTTCTTTTGCTTGTTATGTCTTCATAGTATGTTTTAAATCTGTGGGTGACATGTCTTACAACTTTGCTGAACTTCTGGCCTCCTCTGCGTGGTCATTTAAACATCAGAGTTGCCCCATGGTGTTTCCCTGCCACTTGAGGGAGCACGTAGACAATCTGTGTTCTGCATTTGGGCAGCAATTGCAGTTACCACTGTGGTATATTACATGGATTCCATTACGTCCTTTCGTTTTGTCCTTGTACATTTAGTTGCAAACCAGATTAAAATGTTTTCTCTCTGAGTGCTATTCGTAGCGTTGAATTCCTGAATTGATTAGAATCTGTTTTGTATACACTGCAAACTTCCCTGAAAAGCTCAGGAGTACCTCCCATATCTCCTAAATCTACTATAGTAAGCACATCACATGTTCTTCAGTTTATATTGCGCAAACCATGCTTGCAATTCTCAAACCTACAAGAATAGTTCTCATTAGTGTATCTTGCCCAAGTTTGTAATATTCTGTTTACTAGAGTTTTCCTCATAAAATGAAATTAAATATTCCCATTTGTCTCAGTTTGCCTGCGTATTAATCAAACTGCTTGTGTTGTTGCTATGGAAACTGCAGCTTGTTGCGTTTTATACTCTTATACATGATAGCAGTTACTATAGAAACTTGTCAAACCTTCCATAAGATGCAAATGGCTTATTTTTTAATTTAACTAGAAAACGAGCTATTTTTTTGGCACAAGCTATCCATGTCCTCCTACCAGTAGATTTTGTTACCTGCCTAAAGCTAATTGGGCAATTTTTGAGAGAGAATGAGAGATGATTAACCCAAGTTTCCTCTTTTTTTTCTGTAATTTGTGAAGAACATTTCTTAATTTTCCTTTACTGACACATGTTTATTTTATACGATCTTTATATGATGTTATATTTCACTTACGTGATTTTTTGGAAGGAGCTGGTAGCTGGAGTTAAGACCATGTTATGTTCAAACTGCCCCTTGTACCCATGCAGAACTGTGGGGAAAGACTTGAAAATGTGTAGTGATGAGGCAGGAGGTAAAGGAAACAACTTGCAATTTCTTCTATCCAAGTTCATCCAAAAGACAAAAAAAAAAAAATCCCTACATTTCTAGTACTGTAAGTTGCAATTACTTTAAAATGTCAAAAACGTGAGCTGTCTTCTGGGAGGCGGAGAATCAAAACCATCTTTCTTTGTTTCTCAGGTGCCAAAATTCTCAAATGTCCTCTACATCTTTTTTCTCCCTCAAGCCAATACAGAGGGTAATGACTATTCTGGGAGATTGGCATCTGTATTGTAGAGCCAGACCACCCCAACTCTGCTTATGGCTTGCATGGTAGATAGTGAGTTGTTTGCATTTCCTGATGGTGGGGCTAGACGGGAATCATCTAAATTCATCTCTAAAAACTGAAATTTCCAACTAAGCATTTTTCTTGCAAAGTTAAGAAGTTTAAAGGAGATGTCAGAGTTGTTATATTGTGTCTTCTCCTTGGCCGAAGCGAGTAAGGCGATATAGTTAGTTGATGGTACATGACCAGGTGCTATTTCTTCTATGGGGACTTTGCTTTATTCAGTACGCGGGATGAATGGTGTCCTCCGACAGAGCAGATAGTCAAAGTTTTGTTCCATTTTTGCTGCTCAGTGTTTAGCTATGGGCCTTGTTTATTGTAGGTAATAGTAACTTTCACTCAACCCGTCTTTTCCAAGTGATCTTTTTGATGGAATTTATCACTGAAGCATGTATGTGCTTTAAGTTTGGATGAGATGAGAAGAATCTGTTGACTTTAAAATGCTCCTCAGGTGAGCTGTCTTAGGTAAAGTAACTTGCATTTCAGTTGGGTCTGTGGCTCTTGCGGAAGTGGTGCCTCCACCTTGGCCTGGGCAGCTAGAATGTGACCCAGATGGTGCTTTTGAAAAGTGACGTGTTTGAGGGAGACAGTTCCATACAGCATAGGTCAAGTGCTTTGGTCTTTAGGCCAGGCTTTCTTCTTTCTTCCTTCATTCTTCGTGTCGCTTTGGCCTGCTCTGTGTTTGGATCCCGGATGGATGTTTGATTTCACGTGCTTGGCTTGCTGGAGAATGGTCTCCTCTCTTTTCTGAAGGAGGGAGGGGTTTTCAACAGAAATGCTATGTAGCATTACACTGCAGGAGTCTGCCAGAAATCAAACTATGGAGGATCAGAAGTTCAGCCTGCATCTATTACAAGGCAATATTACATTTCTTTTAGAGTGACCTTCAGCTTTTTGTGAGTTAATTGGAACCACCTATCTTGGAGAGCCCTCGATACTCCCCTTATCTTAGAGGTCCCCAAAGGTGCTGCTCCATGCGAGAGGCAAACCCATTTGAGTGAAACCATGGCTAATGTATGGCCCATCTGAGACAGGAAATCAGTTTCCATATGGACACTAAATACTTGCTTTGGCTGCCACTAAGAATATATAAATACTTAGAGACACCTAGAAAATACCTGGAGGAGAATAGGGTCAGAATGACTATGAGGATCTCTTTGTCCTGAAAAACAAGGCACTGAAAAGGAGCTTTTTAATAACCTTGTGCCTTCCGTTGTAAGCTTATGCTGCAGAAGTAAGTAAAACCAAGGATGTTTCTTAACCCATAATTTTCTAAGCACTATTGTGGTATTTGTGTGACACCCCAACCCATAATCCGAAGTTTTCTTGCTGCCAGGGTCATTCATCATCCCACTGACAGGTAGAGGAACCCTTGACTACAGCCACCCTCTCTCCCTCGCCAAAAATGGAAGTGGTTATCAAAAGCTTCTGGCATCTTCCAGCCTTTCTCCCCAGGGTGACCTTACAGCAGGCCTTGGGAAGCCCAGCGGGCAGGAAGCTGCTGCTGGCTGCGTTTGGTTTAATCTCTTTAATTAGGAAAGGAGTAACAAACCTTATGGTATTAAAACGATTAAAAGGTCAGCTTTAAGGTATTAGTGTTCAAGTTCAGCACGATGAGTTATTTTTTTCCCAACTCTGTGGAGCCAAGCAACATATGAGCGGATCCTGGAGTTTTACCAGCTTGTTTAAACACCTGATTGGCTGAGTTTCATAATGAATAGATGGCCCATCTTCAAAAATCTCTTATCTTACCAGATAAGGGATTAAAAAAAATCCATTTTTAGAGTAGCTTCTTACACAAAAGTTAAAAAAAAATCTTATTTAAAACTTGCAGTTTTCACAGCACATTTTGACATCTGCCAGTGGAAGGCTCTCAAAATGGACAGATGTGGTTACTGCTTCATGATGAGCACAGAGTATAGTCAGTTTTCCTTACAAAATGGGTGAAGGTCTCCATTTTGGAGATGCTTTACTACGATTCAGTATAACTTGTTTGAGACAGGATTGGCAATGCACAGCTGAGCCGAGATCATCCAAAATGTTTGGGCTGTGGAAGCGAGTGGTGATGCTCCCCTTGGGCATTCAGAGCACTGTGCAATGGGAATGGGAATCAAGAGCAACATGCTTAAATTTGGACCTGCAGACCTTGGGGTGGGCTGTGGGCACATAGGAGCCCTGTCAGATATTTTTTCATCAGCTTTGCTGAAGAGTTGCAGTTCGCATGGTGCTGTAGGCTCAACGGTGACAATGGAAAATGGATGTTTTATTTATGGGCATCACAATTAAGTCTATTATTTCTATGTGGGTATGAGCAGGGTGTGTGAAGTTCAGCTGGTCCCAGGCACAGCTTTGGTTTCACAGTTATCCTTCTGACCAGCAGATGGAGTTGAGAGAATGTTACTTTTTAGAAGCTCACAAAAACTTGACTCCTTGTTTTTTGTGCTGTCTACTTTCAGTTAGAGCAGCTCATCTCTGTTTCAGTTTTAAACTGCTTTTCTTGAGCTAAGGCTTCTGTTCCTCATTTATCGCTGTGCTTCTTTCTGGCGTCTTTTGGATTTGCTTAGTAAGAAGAGAGCAGAGAGACAAGAGTGCAGGAGGTGGTGTGCCTTGGAGTGGGCCTCCTAGAGACCAAGACAACTTGTAAAATCAGAAAGTAGGTTTAATTGGATCAAGTAGAGCTTTCAACTACCTAAAATAAGTAATTCATATTTTATTCTAAAACAGTTTATGGAAAAAAAAAGAAAGAGAACCCCCCCACACACACGTGCACACACATAACACACTCCTTACCTATTTTGCCTTTACAGTGAGGAACTTTGCTTGAAGGCTTTCTCCTTTACGTTTCAGTGGTTTTCTTGCATTGCACCGAGCTGAAGCAGCCCTCTGCTGTAGAACAGGTCCGTTTCTGCGGCTCGGAGGCGTGCCGGGTGTCTGCGCGCTGCTCTCCGCAGCGTCTCCCCGGCCCTGCTGGGCGGCAGGTTCTCCTTGCAGCGCTCACCCTGCCCTCTGCCTGCGCTGCCCTGTGAAGGGGTGCACGTTCTCGTGCTCACTCGTCCTCTGCCTCAAGAGAGTCTCTCATCTGTTAGGAAGTAGAGCAGCAGCCTAGCAAACAGCGTGGAAAACTGTTGTCCACGGTTAGTAAACTGGAAACAGATCTAACAGCTACTGCCCAATGCCAGAGGAATAGGTTATTGTGCCTGGAGAAGCCATCTCTCTCCTGCCTTTGTGAAGGAGTCCATGCTGGGTACGTGCATTGCTCTGAATAGGAGAATGTGCTTTTATTTCTCACGGCATTCATAAATATGGTACTAGGCTGACAGAAGAGAGCTGACAAACAGGTTCTGCTCTTGACTCAGTGCAGTGGCTCATTGACACTCCCACCCCCAGTACATGAACATATAGGGTAGAGAATATCTATTGCGTTTCTTCTCCCACTACTTGAGGCAAAGCACTCCTTAGTCAGGCTAGCTTTCCTTCACTTACAAACTTCTCATTCTCTTTTATCCGGTAAATCGTATAAAAGCCACTCGTCAAATTATATCCTGTGAGAACTGAACTTGGGAGATTTCTTTAAAAAGCTTTGCTCCTTTATTGCTTAGAAATGTTACTTTGGTGTGATTTATTTTTATTTATTTATTTTTACAATTTCCTGGTCATTCAAATCAGAAAGCTTATAAAGACAAGGGCAGTAAAGCTCTAAAATATTGTCCCAGTCAGCTGCATAATATTGAAGCACATGGTGGTGAGGAAACAGTTTCAAATATTGAAATCCAAGTGCACTAAGAGCAGTCTGTGAAGACCTCTAGAACCAGCTGTTCAAGTTCACTCTGTGGCATGAGCATAGGAGCCTCCTGACTTTCTGCGGTTATGGCAGGCTCTCCATAAGGCCGTAAGGTTAGCTCCTTAGTACCACCTTCAAAGATAAAAGTTCATAGTGCTAAAACACGTTTGATAGATGTGAGTTTTGTTACTGACTCTTGACATGAAAGCTCTGGATCCATTTCGGTGCCTAAGCTGTTAAAGCAGTGCAATAAAGCTCGGGCTCCACATTATTCACCTTAGAACTGTGCATGTTACTGGCTTTGTATGCAAGAGCTGAGCCCCTTACCTCTTTGTTCGTTTGCTAGCTGCACTGCAGGCTCTCAGGCTGGTGCTGTTAACAAGCTCACATGGTTTCTTGTCACTTGAGTAGAGCTTTCTCCAAAGAGCAGTAGCAGCTTCTGAGACTCTGTGTCCAGTTCGTCTCCATCTCCTTGAATTCAGGGAAGCTCGTTTTTATTGATGGAACCCAGGAAATCACCATCCATTGCAGGGAACATCAGAATAAATTGCAAGGAATGTAAAATGATTCTTTGCCCCTCCAGGTGAAGATTTCCTAGTCATTGGAGAATGCCTGGCTTCATTAAGTGCCTACACAGAGAAATGTCTCCTTTCTGGCCGTCATTAGGAAGCTGCTTGAGCTGGAGTGGTGACTTTGCTGTAGTGTAGTACTTAGTGGTTGGTGCAGTGATAGTCGAAGCTGATACAATGCTCATTAGAGCATACCTGCAATTGCTGTTTGCTGGAAGAACTTCTTTAAGCTCTAGTGTTGACATGTGTGGGGTACAGATCGGAGTTATCACACAGAGTGCTTAGTTCAGGTAGAATTATCATTTACTAGTTAGTGTTCTTCATGATTTACAGTTCATGTCTCCTTTATGCCCGCTATCCATTCTCTGAAAGGGACCCTCAAGATCATACCTTAAGTCTGTGATTGAAAAGGAACTGAAGTAGCTTTGGGTATGTTTTACTTAATGTACTCATATAGAAGTGAAGGTAGGATAAAACCTAGTTTTCTTCAGGTATTGAAAACGTTTTTTAAAAAAAATCTTGGTCGATAAACTGGATGTGCCCACAGTGTAAACAAACATGCGGATGACACATTTGAAGAAGCTCCCTTTACTGGTAAATAGCCTCTCTGCTGTTCAAAGATGTCAGCAGATCGAGAAATCCACAGGTACAAAGTGCTGACTTGATGGTGCAGATTATCTCGGATTAGGATGCTGAAAGGTCTATGGAACAAACACCTGCATCAAAATACTAATCCTGTAGCGATGGATTCGTCATTGTCTCGCTTAGATCCACTGTTAGTTAGCAGTGTGCCTTGAGGAACCACCAGACATTCTGTAATGCAGGATTCGGCCTAATAGGGTGATTTCAGAAAGCAGAATTTTGTGATGACCAGGGAAAAGGAAAGGACGTGGAAATAAGAAATAATGGAAGAGAAAGTGTATTTTTAAAATGCAGTGCTGCATGGAAGCTAGTCTGACACCACCTTCCTTTGTATCAGTTTTGTGACTACTGCTAATCTACAATCTGCTTTTTTCTTCCTTGATCTCTAAGTAACCCCTTCTGGTCAGGGCACTATTTCTGGGCTGATACAGCTATAGTCATACTTGTGGTAGGGCAACAGCATATGAAGGACTTTGGCTTAGGAAACAATTCTTTGATTGGGACGAAAGCATTGCTTTCAACAAGATTTTCTTTGGCAGGGTCTCTGTATTTTTGTGCAGATTGGCTGAACTAATTGTTTCCTATTTGTAAGCTAACAATTCTGCAAGACCTGTCTGCTCTCCTAGATTTGCTCGCAGAAGAAGGGAGTAGCTTGATTTCAGCTGTACGCCCTGTGAGCCTCAGGGGATGCGTTTCCCTCTCCAGCTTTTACTGCTGGTTTTATTGCAAGCTTTGGACAAAGGGATGCAGCACGGGTTCGTTGTTTCATTTGTTGGCCAAATCACTCTTAATAACAGTAGAGCCCCCTGTTCCTCCATCAGATACCACCTTCTTGTTTTCTCGGGGACCTGTGTGCTTCCTTCTCCAAAAGAAAAGGTACTTGAGGTGCAAGTGGCAGAACTGAGGAGGACAATTTTCTACTCAAGTAAAGATAAGTTCTGTCAGGGAGGCCCTCCTCAGCTCAGAAGATGAGTGTTGTGCTGTCCTGCAGTTTGTGGAGCTTTCTAGCGAGTTCAATTAGAAAACCTTTTTTAAAGGTCAGGAGTAAAGTGAGTTGGTTTATAATGGCATATCCCTTCACTTAAAGTTGCTTTGGTCAGTGGTTCTGTAGAAAGCACTGAGCTGCTTCCCATGTTACCTCTCCAGCGTAGTCCTTGTCTTATTTTCTGTAAAAAAGTGTTTTTAATGGCTGGTTTTCCTTGGGCAGCTTGGAAGTTGCTAAGCTTTTCCCTGGGAGCCTGTATTTGCAGTGCATAATCAAACTGATTCTTGAGACAGTTTATCCTTTGTCTGTGGGATTAATTCAGGCAAAATAATCATAAGGATTTAAGCCCTTTTGTGGTCCCATACTTGCCTCTTCTGGTGAAGTTACTGCTTAGTGAATACACTTAGTGTAGTGGAAGTAAAATACTTACCAAATAAAATATTGGAAGGAACTTTAAAAGCAGACACAGCCTAATATGACTCTGCATTTAACTCTAGTATACTTTAGAAGTACATATTGCATTCCAGATATAGGTGGCCCCTTTTTGGAAGAAAAAAAATATAGTACAGTTTTCAAAAACCATGTATTAGCACTATATAAAGCTAGTCAGATAAATTTTACTGTCTTTACCCATTGAGCTTTTCCTTCTACGAGGAACAAGAAACTGGGATTGAAAGGTATAATACTTGAAATATCACTAAAATGTAATATGAAACATACTTGAATTCTAAAACCAGCATGGCAAGAGTTTGTTTTTCCTGTTAGAATTATGTTCTACCTGATAAACGGAGGATTTTTTGCATGGCTTGCAAGTTGAAGTACTGGTTGTGTCTTTACAAAAAGAATTTCTCAAAATATTTTTGTTGTTCCAAAAGTAGAACAAGAAGTTCAAGAAAACTACAGAGACCAGGTTAATAGTGCTGGTAGCCAGTCATATCGAAAAGCTTGGTGAATAGGCTCGTGATGTTCAGATTATTGCAGAAGATGAAGCTCAGAATTTAGACTTGCAAACATGATGCTTAACTGACTGTTTCCTTAGTCCCAGATGCAAACCCAAGTGCAGCAAGTGGGGATTGTACCAGCGCAGGCAATGGCAACTGGACCAACAGCAGATCCGGAGAAGCGCAAACTGATCCAGCAGCAATTGGTTTTGCTCCTTCATGCCCACAAATGCCAGCGGCGCGAGCAAGCGAACGGAGAGGTGCGAGCCTGCGCCCTGCCGCACTGCCGGACCATGAAAAACGTCCTCAACCATATGACACACTGTCAGGCTGGGAAAGCCTGCCAAGGTGAGAGCGTGTTGCTACAGCTACTCTTACAAACAACCTGTGTAAGGTTTCTTGCCCATGGTAGTCAAGAAGGTGACCATATCTGGCACAAATGGATACTACCTAGTTCTTTAGCTGAACTGCTGGTATTTTTAAATTATTTTTCCCCCCAATATCCATTTCTGGTCTCTTTGCAATTTCCACCTCAGGAAACAGAAAGCAATATTTGCCTCTCTGACATGGAATAGTGCTAGAAGTAGTTTCGAAAGACTCTTTTGCACCTCTGCTGTTACAGAAAGAGGGTGTAATATCCATCATGTGTTTGCATCTAAATCGCTCGCATAGAATTCACTAATGTCCTCTATTTTGTTATGGCATTGTTAGTGCCAAAGTTTGCAGTTGCATTTAGCTGTTTTTAGTTATATTTACAGTATTTCTTGCAGAGGAGAAAAAATAGTGCTCTGTTAAAAATAAAATAAAATAAAAAAGTTATTCAAAACCAGTAAACCAAGTAATAAGTTTAATTCTATCACGTTGTGTTGTTATAGTGGCTCATTGTGCGTCTTCACGACAAATCATCTCCCACTGGAAGAACTGTACTCGGCACGATTGTCCCGTGTGCCTTCCTTTGAAAAACGCCAGTGATAAAAGAAACCAACAGCGTAAGTAGTTGTTTTACTGCTGTCATATTGTAATGATGTGATAAAATGGAGTTAATCAAACGTGCAGCGTAGGAATAAACTTTGACGGTGTCTTGACAAACTTAATAGCTGTAGCTATCGCTGTAGCGATCATTTATATAAGAATGAATGTATTACAAGTGAATTCTCCTTTTTGATCATTTAATGCAATTTATATAAGCGATCATTTATATAAGAATGAATGTATTAAAAGTGAGTTCTCCTTTTTGATCGTTTAATGCAATTTATTACTTAAATATACAGTATAGAAAAAGAGAAAGTGCTCAGATCAGGCACACGTCCATTTTTCACGAGCATGGCAATTTCTAGCTGGCATTTTCTGTTGAGTCATGTCAGGAGTTACTTGTATCTAATTATGTTTTCTCTTGTAACGCAGTTTGGGATGTCAGTAGTGTTTTGGGGAAGATATAAACTATTTCATTAATTTTCAGAATAATAGAAAAAAAATTATAAATTAGATCAATGTGCAAATTCTGCCATTACTTCCCTCTTACTCTGAAACAGAAAATACTGATTTTTAGTGAGTTTTATTCAAGACCCTTTCAAAACATGCCAAGGTAGAAGGTTTGACATGATGGATCCAGCAGTTTTGGAAATCTGGGTAACATCTACAGTACTTGGGAGTTAAGAAGTAAAGGCAGACGAAGGACTCCGGTCCTGTAAATTTTAATTGTTTTGGAAGCATTCTGCTAACTGGCTTGTAGGCTGGCAGTGCAGTGAGGAAAGCTTGGAGGATAGGAAAGAGCTCTTGAGTTAGATGAGTTTGAGACAAAGGGGAGAAAAACATGCAAGACAATCCCCAAAATAGTCGACGAGTATCCTTTTGTTATGGTTCAGGTTCAGGCTACTTCTTTTCCCTCCAAAGCAATAAATAAATAAAATAAAACCAGCAAGCTAGTTGGAAGAAATGATTTTGTCTATCTTCTACCAAATTCCTTCATGGTAATTGAGACGCTTCTTGTGTGTTAAAAGAAATAATTTGTTTCAAGTGATTAATTATGTTTAGTCTTTGAAAAAAATGTGTTGATAGCTTTGCTTTTTAATGAAATGTGGTTCATTTGTGCATAACATCCTTACTATGCAGTTGTCCTTGAAGTGGTAACATTTTCTAGCATAATAGAATTATGTATTTTTATACAAGCTGCTACAGAACAGTAGTTTTTGCAGTATTCGTTTTTACATCGTTTGTGTGGTTTATCAAAAGTAAGCAAAAGCAATCCTTAAAAAGATGACTTTGTTATGGGATTGATAGGGTGTGACTTGTCTTTAGTACAACAGAACAATAGTAGATAAATAAAGAATGTGGTTATCTTGTTGAAAGTAGGGGAAATAAATGTGAAATCTCCCTTCCACCATTTTATTCAATTATATGATGACTTTTATGGTGACTAGTGCTGGATTTATGGCTTAGTGTGCTGAGGTGCACACTTCTCTCTTCTGAAGTATACCCAAGTCAGGTGTAGGACAACATGTTACTGTTTAAAGGTAAAAAAGGAACACCAAAATAAGTTCTTTAGATACAAGATAAAGAATGTTACTTTCTAGGCACTCAACAAGTTTGCAAAATAATTTACATTACTGTCTGCGTTTGAAAATACCATGCCTGAGCAGGTAAAAAAAATAGGTTAGTTTAAGATCTCCCAGAGAAAACTGTAGTCCGCTCACGAATAAATCACTAGAGCAGCTATTAATTTTGTTAAAAGTGTACATATGGCAGATAGTTATGAGAAAATTTAGAGAGAGAAGAAGAAATGTACAGTGATACTCATCCCTGCTGTCAGACTGTCCTCTTTAGAGCAGGAGTGGCCACATGGTGCTCATTGGAGACTGTGTCTAGGTTCCTCAGTGCTGTTCCTGTCTCTACAATGTGTTTTGAGGGTCGTTTATCTCTGCTGGGCTTCCACGTGGCTCCTTCCAGGCATGCCGGTCTTCTGGGAAGATCAGCAGCTCGGTGTTCCCGAAATATTGCAGTATGGTGGCTTGTTTCCACCTTTCCCATCTGAAATGATGCAGAGGTGCTTCCAGGGAAGATTCAACACCTTGACCTCTCTTTTATTGTAACTGTTGGTCGTAACATGACTTGTCAACAGGATGTGTTGAGACAAGTCTAAAGGACAGATTTGAAATGTCAGTTCCTTGTGGATGTGATAGGGTAGGTCTGATTTTGCGGAGCTGGAGGGGGGAGGAGATTCTGCCAAGAAAAGAAATATTTTAAATATCTAAATTTTTAATGTTTTTTTGACTAGGCCAACTGCTCCTATGTTTTGAAGTAATTTTTATGAGTTTTTGTGCTTGGAGGGCAGGTTTTGCCAGGAAGCAATTTGGTTTTGCTCCCTGCTTGAGCCAGTCTAATTTTGACCAAATTATAAACTTTTGCAGATGGTAGTTTGCCTATTCCATAGCATTACACTTCCACTATAACAAATATTTTTCGGAAAATTTGTTTCTCCTGAGCATATTTGAGCCTCATACTCTCCTGTTCCTGACCTGGGCAGATGAACACTGCAGCAGCAATAACTAGAGGAAGGAGAGCGGGTGCTTTAGGAGACGTAGCTGTTTAGGAGGGGTAAGCAGAAACCCAGTCACCAGAAGGCTTCCTCTCAAAACCCCTGAGCGTTTTGTGGGTGAGTGCATGTGTGTGCACCCGTTAGAGATCACACACTGATCACCTGCCAGCTCGCAGTTAACTCTGTTGGGTCGCATGGTAGACGTTTAGCCCACAAATTAAAGTTCTGTTCATTGCTGTACTGTGACAGCTTGGGGTTTCATTTGATGTTTATATACATACATATGTATGTTTATGTATCTGTATTAAACTTAATATTGAGATTTTCTCGTAAGTTGCTTGCAGTCTTTGTTTACCCTTTGATTTTATGCATAATGCAGCCTTTAATGAAACAATCGCATACATACACTTAACCTTGGGTATGCCTGTATGACAGTCATGGTCAGGAACTCTGTAGAATGGAGAGTGTGCGATCATTTAGATTACACGCTGATGTATGTATCCAAAAGGGCTTCATTAATTAAGATAACGGTTACCTCTTCTGTTTAGAAGAGGTTCACTGTCCGTGGTGCAAACTTTTAAAGCTTTTATCATTCAACCTGTCATCAGCCTGACAGATGCCTTAATTTTTTTGAAAACATTCTTTGGTCTGGGGCAGAAATAAAAAATGGAAAAACTGATTTTGCATAACAAGCTCTTCTAGTCTAGGCTGGATAGTGGTTGTTACAGCAGCTCTAACAGAAGGTCTGAGCTCAAACTTTAGCAGCTGATACCACTGCCAAAGCTCGGCACAAAACCACAGGCAAGAGCCTTCTCCAAGCACTTCCTTGATTTCCCTGCAAGCCTCAAGCAAAGCTTAGAGTCCTCAGAAAACTGATGTCAAGTTCTGTTCCCTTGGAGAGTGAGAGTACTTGGTGAAACTCTTGGGCATCCTCAGTATGGTGACTAGAAGTCTTCCTTATCTGCTCAGTCTCCAGCACCATGTGTGATCATTTGACCATTTCCAGACACTTGCCTCTTCTCTTACAACCGGTGCTGAAGGTGGAAGTTTTCTTTTCCCTATAGCTTTGCTTTGGGAAGCAGAGAAGTGTCATCCTCTTTCCTCAGCTTTTCTCCAACGAGTTGGAAGGAGCTAGTAGCTCCTGGATTGATTCTTTGCTGCTGTGACAGCCTCTGAAGCAGCTTAAGTTCCAAGGTGCCGCAGGTTTTGTACCACAAAGCCTTTTTAGAGATTTCCTCTTTCTTTCCTCTTTCTTGGTTCATACTAGTGTAAAGACATCTTTCTCTTAGACTACATAAGTCTGACAAGAAAATTTTGAGAATTCCAGAGATGAAATTAGTACTTTTTGTTGGAAGGCCCTATAGAGGCTTTAAACTGTTCCTTCTTCAGAAGATTCATCAGAAGAAACTGAGCACTCTCCCTACCCACTCTGAGTTTCAAGAAGTTGGGCCAGTAAGAAAACAATAGTTGTTCTGTGGCTGTTCAGGAAAAAAATAGGATCTTCTTTGCCATTGAGAAACCTGCTGGAGAGAGGAACAGATAGAATCCAGGAGCCTTTCTCATAGAGCGGTGTCTGGGCTGGGTGGGTTGTCTGAAGTCCAAAGGTTGAGCTTGGTATTTTGGGTGTTTGTTTGTCTTACGAAACTGATAGGAAGTCAAACAACTTAAAGGCTTTTGGTTTTGTGATAAAACAGATTGAAAATGATTACTTCAAAAGTTACTAAAAATGTGTCCTCAATAGTATAGAGATATAAAAGCCTTATTTTTTGGGAAGTCCAACATGGACAACACAGTGGATAGTTTTTCAAAAACATGGAGAGGGTATTATTATAAACATTGAAATCATTGTAAGTATATTGGGTATGTTTGAGTTATTTGACAAATGCAAATGAATTTTTGCATTTCCCTCTGGAGCGGGAGAAGTTTGGATATGGCAATGTAGTTTTGTCTTTTTTGTTTGTTTCTGTGGGTTTGTTTGTTTGTTTGTTTGTTTTTACTATTAGTGCAATATCGAAAGCTGTTGTTGCTGTATTTAGATCAAAGATTTGTAGCGCACATTTTATCTTTAGTTACTTGAGCGGAAAATGAAGTACGTAGTACTTCCACCAGAGTCTCTGTGGTCAGAATGTGGTGTCTCCACAGTGAAGGATATACTCCATATGTCATTCCCAAGGGGGGATGGCAGCTAAAACAAGGACTGGAAAGTAATTTTTTTTAATGCAGTTCTGTTTTAGTAAAACTAATTTTCTGTTATTTCCGTTTCCTGTGTGAAATGGAAATAGAGATGGCGTCTTCACGGTGACAAACATGGGTTGATTTTAGTGGTCGCATAGGTTAATGAGTACCTAAATAGCCATCCTCTAAATCATTTACCAAAAGCTGGAGCTGGCCCCCTCCTTCCCTGACACTCTTAAAATTGTTTAAATTTTGCATGCACATTCTGAAACCCATCAGTACATACAAATACCTTGGGTTATAGGGTAACTACTCTGGGCTTCAGAGGATTCATCTAGTGATGAATTTCTACCAACAGATTTTCAATATTACCTTCATGTCCAAAGACATGATGTTTTGGCTCAACTCAGGATCTTTTGGAGCCTAAGATTTTTGAATATTTACCCCCTGAAATGGTGAGGAGGAGGGAAACAACAGAATTGCTTTTTTTCCTTGTCTACTCTGCCAAGCATGAATGTACTATTTAAGCTTGTATTGGAAGCTATGCTTTGTATTATGTACGTTCTAGCAATTATAGGCTTATTTGCCTGTGCAGCACTTCTCTTTAGACTGCCCGTGATAATGTTAGGTGGCTTCTGTAGAAGCATTATTTCTAGAGTATCCTGTAGAATCAGAGGTCAAATTTCTCTACTTGGCATCTCAGGTGTCATTCTGTCCTTTGGCAGCAAAGTGTTTATTGTATAATGATATGCACATTATGTAAATTCTTGGAATGATTTCTGATTTGTTTTTTTTATTTTTCCCTCATTGACCTGATTGAAGTTACTACAGCACTGTTTTTTTTTTTTTTTTAAATAGCCCTTTTAGGGTCTCCAGCTGGTGGAATTCAAAATTCCATTGGTTCTGTTGGAACAGGCCAGCAGAATACTCCATCACTAAGTAATCCTAATCCGATTGACCCCAGCTCCATGCAACGAGCCTACGCTGCCCTCGGACTGCCATATGGCAACCAGCCGCAAACACAGTTGCAGCCCCAGGTACAAGGCCAACAACCAGCACAGCCTCAGGCTCACCAGCAAATGAGGACCATTAATGCACTGGGTAGGTGGAAAAAAAAGGGCGGAGTGGGGGTGGTGGGACAAGAGGAAAATAAGTTGAAAAAAGTAACTCGAACTGTAGAATACATAGGACAAACAGTTTAGTGGGTCACTTATTCAGAGTAGTGACTTTCTGTTAATGCTGCTTAGTAACAAATTTCAGTATGTTAAGTCTTGAATATTAGAAAGCTTTTTATGTATGGCTTTTGCCACATGGCAATAATTCTAGTTTCTTCTAAAATGTGCCAGTAGCTTATTCTTATTCAACATATTTAGCTGTAATTCCTTAGCTCTTTTGGTTGGTTTAACCAAAGTGGTTCAGCCGTCTAGCAGGTATTTCTATCTCAGATCCTAGCTTCTTCCTGATAATTAACTGTTAATGTTACTTTCTTTCTGGCTTATTGATCTTAAATCTAACAAATTTATTTTTTTTATATAAGAATTATTCAGCCTGGCATTAGTTTTTCATTCCATAGTAGTTAAGGATACGCATCATAGTAGGTGTTAATATGTAAGTATTTTTCTGATGCACTATTTCTTTGGCTAGTCACTTGGATTCATAAAGTACCTTTTTTTCTATTTTTTTTAAATAAAAATTATGACTAGGTACTCATGATGTTTATTTTTTTCCCCAAAGGAGCCAACCAGATGAACCTTCCCACAGGAGGAATAACAACAGACCAGCAAGCTAGTCTAATTTCTGAAACAGCTCTTCCAACATCCCTTGGGACAAATAAGTAATGCATATATTTTCATTCTTGCTCAATTAATCATTCGTTTACATGCTTTATGAAAGTAAATGAAGAACTTCCCTTAAATACATTATTATTGCTTGAAGTGATCAGTCATGCCTATGGCTGTGGTCTTTTCCTATTTCAGTTCTAAACCTACCACTTTTTTGCTGAAGAGCACAAAAATAGTTAGTACTTTTAAATGAATTCTCAAAGAAAGATTATTCTGTATATTTTTAAGTGTATAAAAAAAATAGCTTAACAGTTATGATTCTTTATCACTCATGTATCATGTCTTGTAAACTCCTGGAACTTTGTTGCTATATGCTTTCCAGTTTAGTAATCTCGGTTTTACTTACAAAATGTTTGATATAGTGCTAGAAATGATGAAATACTTAAAATACTTAAAGGAACCTCAAGCATGAACATACAATGAAGTTCTGCACTATTATATTATATTCTAATGGTCCCTATTCTTATTACAGCCCACTAATGAATGATGGCACAAATTCTGGCAATGTTGGAAACCTCAGCTCAATGCCAACAGCTGCACCTCCTTCTAGTACTGGGGTGAGGAAGGCATGGCATGAACATGTCACTCAGGACCTGCGCAATCATCTAGTGCATAAACTGTAAGTATTGACCAGGGCCAGATGTTTTCCTGAATATCTAGAGCAGTAGTAATACAGTATTGAAATTATTGTGGATGAAAGGTTGGTTCTTAACTAAGCAGTGGGTGTTCTTGTAACCAGTTGGAAAACATTAGAAGATATTTTGATATGCACGTTTATCTGATTTGACATATTGTCGATGAGGAAGTCTTCAGCAGCAGTTCCATGGCACTGGCCCAGTGAGGGTGTGCAGTTATCTTTAACCTTTCTCCCCAGTTCATTACAGTATCACGTTAAGGGACAGGTAGTTTGTATTGCTAGTAAACTTGTAGTAAGTAGAAATGTTTAGTCTCTGACCTGTCAAACTTCTGATTTTTTTCATCATTACACTTGTTTTAATTTTGTGGGGAATAGTTTAATGTAGATCATTTAAAAAACAGTTTAGGTATCTTTACTTATTCCTAACCTATAAAGAAATGAATAAAATGAAGAGTATTATAAAGCTGTATAAAACTGATTTGTTCTTTCTAAAGACTTTTTTTTTCACTTTTTTCCTTTATTGTAGTGTCCAAGCCATCTTCCCCACTCCAGATCCAGCAGCGCTGAAGGATCGCCGCATGGAGAACTTGGTGGCTTATGCCAGGAAGGTGGAAGGAGATATGTATGAATCTGCTAACAGTAGGGTATGTTGCATCAGCCCAGATATTCAGCATACTTTAAAGAGCTGTGGTATCACACATCTGAAGAATGTAATGGAAACCACAAAGAATCCTGTCACCATTCTGTTGCTGAAGAAAATCATGCTTTCTGCTATGGTTGTACCATCTGATTACTGTCACTTGAAGCTAATTCAACTCCTTCAGCTCTGTGAAAACACAGCAACATAGTCCCAGCACTTCTTGAGCTCCCTCTGAAATCTGGTAGACATGTTTGGGAACCAGAGCACAAATCATGGTCCTTGGTGCTCCTCTCGCTATTTTTCTCTCTTTCATTCCTTTTTGAAGTCTGTTTGTGTCAATAACCATTTTTAAATTGTCTTAAAGTCTCTGTCATTGGAAGTTTGTCCAGGACTCAGTTCTGTATATTGATTACCTTTTACTAGTTCTATTTGAATAATTTCTCCTCTACTCAGCTGCATTGACTGATTTGGCTAAGACAAATCACTGTTTCAAGTGATAAGAGTGTAAGAAATTAATTTATCTGTTCTTGTCTTTATGCATGGGAGATGAGACAGTTACTTGTTCTTGTTCGTTAATTTTTCTCCACCTGCAATGAGATGTCATCTCGAATTTCTGTTATTCAGAGGTACCAAATCCCTGTTGATTGACATAGGTAGCATATTGTTTCATTATGTCACTGTGGCACATCCACTCCAAAGGAGCTGCTCCTTGAAAGTGTTTTCATCAGGTAAACCAGTGTTCTGAGCAGCAGTATTAACAGCTATTGAAGATCTTAAGAGACCCAAGTTGTGAGATCAATTCTTAAATAAGATAATGATATTGAAAGAGAGTAACCTCATTCCAGGTGATAATCACCAGCAAGACAGTTATGCTTCACCAAGTCCACAAATAGGTTCCCAAAAGAGCTAGGGAGAGGTAGTTTTTCTTCCTACCTGCACATACTGTAGACCCTCTTGCAATAGTGTTGCTCAGTGGCAATATCCTATCCTCTTACTAGGAAGACTTGTGTATGATCACTCTTGACAGCTTTAGAGAGCAAATGAGTATTTCACGGGCATACCTAGGAATTCCTCGCTTGTATACTTTGTCACTAAGGATGAGACTAGTAAACTTCTCTATAATATTAAATGCCTTCTGTCTAGGTCAGAAACACCCAGAAGAAGGCTCAAGCAGCTGCCTGAGCTGCTTGCATTTTTATGGGAATTCATCTGACATATTTGGCTCTAAGCAGCCAACATGGGAGAAAGGAGTAGTTAAGACATCATAAACAATGTTTTGTGAAATTACATCCATCTTTTTGAGGAATATCAGTTCTACTTCATAACGCTGAGAAATGGAGCTTGAGTGGTAATAGAAAGCAGTTTGACACGGTGCTGTGCTACATGCTTGTATAAGTGTGTAGAAGTCTTTGTAGTATGGAAGTAGCATAAGGCAGTCACTTTGTGTCTGCAAGCAGGAGGTGGTAAGTGAAGTCCTTAAGCAGAAAAAGGGAAGAGAAGAGAAATGAAGTTGGAGGGAATTGAAGAACTCTCAGAAATGAAGTTTTATTATTACAGCACTGGACTTCCTTAACAAGACTGCTGAGGGATACCCCTCTCATCCTAGTTTTCTAACATGAAGCGGATCCTGCCATAATAAGTTTTAGATCAAGAGTGCCAATTTGAGGAGAAAATGATTGTGGGATGAACATCACTCATCCATTGGTCCATGTAACACTGAGTGGTTTTAAGATCAAAGATTATCTCACAAAACCAATAGTCCTTTGGGTTTTGTGAGCTTTTTTTGCCTTTAGCAGGCACTGAGAATTTCATGCACTTGAAGATGCGTGTCCAGCAATTGCTGACAAGCAAAACTGGCTCCCTTGCTATGCACTCTGCCTGCTGTTTGATCTGTTGACAATTTGGTCTCAATAAAGTGGACTTTTTGTTGTGCATAGGTGTAGTGTTCAGTTGTCTGAACCTGTGGACTATTTTTCACTAATTTTGTCCCTTCGTCTGTTTTTAGATTTCCCGCAATGGCCCTGTGTTGATAGATAAATTCAACAGGCAAAGAGTGGTTTCTTTACATAAAATTGATCAGCTTTTAACATCTGTCTCCTGAAGTTTATTCAGCATTATTGTATTGCTGGTGTTTTCTTCTTTGTGTTTCTGGATTAGTGAAAATTATTATTATGAAAATATAATTTAAAAATCATTAACGCTTAGAAACCAAATTGCAGCTTTCTTTTGGGTTTTGGCCAAGCAGTAGAGAACCTGCAATTTTCTCCTTCAACTTCAAATCTATACAGAATAGATGGGATGAATAGTCATAAAGCCAAGGCATTTTTTTTCTAGAAGCTTTATTTTTTTCCTACCTGCATTAAAACAGTGATGATTCTTTCTGATTTTAACTGAACTGTGAAAAGAAATACTTCCTTAGGCAGGTGCATACATTTATTTAAGTAAAAGGAGGGCAGGTAATATTCTGATAGACTCTGTAATTTCTGTTGATGTTTTTCTTGAACTTGATACTGAGTGCTTTTTTTGTTTTCCTTTTTTTTTTTTCTTTAGGATGAGTATTATCATTTATTAGCAGAAAAAATCTATAAGATACAGAAGGAATTAGAAGAGAAACGGAGGTCTCGTCTACATAAGCAAGGGATCCTGGGGAACCAGCCAGCCTTACAGACCCCCGGACCTCAGCCCCCTGGCATCCCCCAGGTGGCTGCTGCCATGGGCCAGGCACAGCCCGTGAGGCCTCCCAGTAAGTGCTTCCTTGCCTGGATGAGAGCGACTGGGGAAAAATGAAGTGAAAAGTGCAAGGATGTGTTTATTTTTCCATGTTAATTTTTTTCTCTGTCCATTCTTCTGCTTTTCTTTGCAGACGGACCTATGTCCATGCCAAACGTGCCTATGAGTCGTATGCAGGTTTCTCAAGGTATCTATATTTTCCTCTCTCATTACAATTTGTGGGCTCAAAACATATATTTAGGAGAAAAGCTGATGATCATTTCTTTTCTTTCAGAAACAGGAGTAGGGGAATCTGCTGGGTTTCTCTCTTTCAGCGTCTTTGCTGTTCTCATCTTGGTGCTGTCTTTAAGAACTAGCAATATGTACCAAATACTTTGTTAGCAATTAGGAGGTATTGAAGAAATATTAGGAGAAACTGAGGAAATTCCTCCTCAAAAAGAGGAGAAAACAAATAAGAATGCTGTGAATGATCTGTCATTTAAAAACCATTAACTTTTTTGAGTGGGAGTCTGATTTGTTTTTATCAGTTTATTAGCCAAAAATATACGTGTAGTTGAAAACTTGCCACAGATTTCATCAAAAAAGGTGTTGCGGGTTATTTGTAGCACTGCTGGTTTGCCATCACTGGTTTATTCTGCTGTAGTCTCAAGGATGTGTTTTTCTGAAAAAAGAAAACCAATGACTTTTAGATGCTTCAGCTTTCCCAAAAAGAGTAGCCCAGTCGTGTGTGTGTAGTGTTTTTTTTAAAAAAAAAAAAAACTTCTTTTTAGAATATTAGCAGTGCATTGAAATTTCTTTAGCAATTGCATACTGAAGCTTTTTGGTTCATTTAAGTAGGACAAAGTTGCTGGTGAGTATAGCTCCGTAAATTTTTACACTTCGTGCTAGAAAAAAATTATTATTTTTTCCAGAGAAGAAATTTTCTAAAGGAAAGGCCCAACGTCTTTATAAGCATATTGCTTGTTTCTGTCCTGATTGCAAACCAGAACTTGCTTTCATGTTAGCAATATGTATTTGTATCTATCTTCAACACCTGCATACGGTTCCTATTTCAAGGCAAATACCTGTTTCTAAGAAAATACTCCAAGGTGTTATATACAAATAGCGTCCTGTTGTTATAGATCATCTACACTGTTCATCTTGTGTGTGTTTTAGACACTATAAATTATTTTACCTTAACTGGCATTCCTCTTAATATGTTTTTGCTCCCTGATTTGTCTCTTAAACCAAATTATTTGACTTTGAACCATGTTAAAGGGAAAAAAATGAAGCGTTAGGAGAGCTGAGTTTTACTCATAATAGATATGAATTTTATTGTAGATTATACATACATAAATTCTGGTGACTTGTTCCTAATGAGCTGTTTTGGGGGTGCATTTGCAGGAATGAATCAGTTTAACCCCATGTCCATAGGGAATGTACAGATGCCGCAGGCACCCATGGGACCCCGTGCAGCTTCTCCAATGAACCACCCTGTACAGATGAACAACATGGGCGCCGTTCCTGCGGTTCGTATCTCTTGGTACCGGGTTCTTCTCTAAACAGGTGCATTACATTTAGCAGGGTTAACACTCTTCTGAAAAGGCCATGTCATAAAATAGTTCTGTGAATTGCAGGATAACTTCATGGAAATGCACTGACTCTGCCAGACTCTTATTGGGATGGTTATTTTTGCTCTTTATATGTGTCAAAAAAAAAACAGACCATCCTTAGAGGTAGATGTCAGATGAAATATTGTCCAGTAAAGAGCATAATTCTTTCAGGAACTCCATCTTTCCTATATAAACTTTATTCATCTGTGAAAACTTGGTTTTATTCTTTAGAAAAATGAAAATATCTTTGCTTTCACTGGATTATCTCTGTTACCTCTGAGAGCAAAACAGAATTTAGCATTCTTAGTACAGCTCTAATACTATTACCTTGTTAAAAATAACTTCTGCCACAAATGCCATGGAATGAATATTAATATCCTGTGTACGTGCCAGCTTCTATTTAATTTACTGAAGTAAGTCTTTCTCTTAATCTTGGGTATGTCTTATAGTTAGTTATTTTGAGAGTATTTTCCTTTGAGTGGCTGCCCAAGAATAAAAAATATTAATATCTTTAATTTGGATATTGCTTTTTAGATGGCAATGTCTCCTTCCCGAATGCCTCAGCCGCAGAACATGATGGGAGCCCATTCCAATAATATGATGGGGCAGGCTCCTACCCAGAACCAATTCCTGTCTCAGAATCAGTTTCCAGCATCCAGTGGGACTATGAATGTGAACAACGTGGGCATGGGTCAGACAACAGCCCAGGCAGGGGTAACACAGGTAAGATGCATTTTCTAATACCTGTGTTATTTACTCTGGATTACATTGGTCTGTTCTTTTTAGTTATTATTTCTGTGTACTTGTATATCCATTGTCTACTGTCCATTCCTGGCTCTTGGTTTGTATCTGCCTTCTCCATGAGCTCTTCTACGACACATGTACATGTACTAACCAGAGGACTGTGCTCACTTGTAATTCCTGATAGAATTTTTTAGGGGATAATATCAAATGAGTTCATAGGATCCTGAGCATATGTCCTTTTGAGTGTATTTGTGTGGATTTTAGTAGAAAACTTAAAATCAAGAACTGTAATAAAGTGGATGAGGAAAACAATTTCCTTTTAATCTGTCAACTTCTGAACAGGAAGAGGTAGAGTATTTTTCTGTTTTTATCACTAGTTATGCAATTCAGTTTTTAGCAAACTATATCATTTAAAGTCTGTGCACCTCCAGAATACTTCTGCTATTGCTGGTTTGAAGGGATAGATCCACAATTTTCTTAAATGTCTGCAGTAGTCCAATCAGAATTTAGAAAAAAAAAAAAATCTGCTGTGCCTTTCAGTGGGGCATATATTAATGGACTGGGACTGCCCCAGTATTTCATCCTAAAATGTGATATAGCTTGAACCCATTTTCTGTGCAAAGTCCAAACTTTGCCTGCCTGCCTGCAGGTTCATGTTACTGAGGAGATCCTAAGGATTCCCTCTCTCCTATGACAGTAAAAATAATTTAAAATGATGCATGAGGGCACATACAAGTTTAGGAGCAAGCCTTTGGCTAAGAGCTCATGAAGATGTTTAGAGAAATTGGAATTTATAGTAGCAGCACTCTTATACATGTTTTTACATATATTTAGACTTTCTCCATAGCATTTTTTAAAAGACTAGTGCTGTCATTTAGAGGACAGGTGTGATTCCCAGAGTTTGGGGTTGATGTATATGAAAGAGACTCTCTCTCTCTCTCTCTCCATGCAGCAGGGGCAGGTTCCCAGTGCTGCTCTTCCCAACTCCATCAACATGCTGGGACCGCAGAGTGGGCAGTTGTCGTGTCCGCCGGTGACGCAGCCGCCGCTCCACCAGCCCGCGCCCGCGGTGTCCACGGCGGCGGGCATGCCGCCCCTGCAGCACCAGGCACCCCCTGGCATGACGCCTCCGCAGCCCGCAGCGCCCACGCAGCCATCCACACCCGTGTCATCTTCAGGGCAGACCCCCACGCCCACGCCAGGCTCTGTCCCCAACGCCGCACAGACGCAGAGCACGCCGACGGGGCAGACTGCTGCGCAGGCCCAAGTGACGCCGCAGCCTCAGACCCCAGTGCAGCCGCAGTCTGTGCCCACCCCACAGCCATCCCAGCAGCAGCCGACGTCTGTGCAGGCACAGCCACCTGGCACTCCAGTAAGTACCAGCTAGTCGCATTTTTCTTTCCTTGTGTGGTGGAATAAAAATTCCATGGGATCCTTCCTTGGTACAGCACACAGCTGTGGATTTATAGAGCCCGTGCTTTTTATGGCTGTAAATCCTAGCTCCTGCTTCAGAACAAAGGGCTTAAACAAAAAAGTCATGTGCACCTCTGTAAAAATGGGTCCAACCACATGTTCTCAGCACTGTTTGAAGGAGGGGGGCTTGTTGAATGCCTTTGCACTGCTCAAAAAGTAAAAAGGGTGATAATGTGTGGAAAGATTATTCAAGATAGTTTTATGTATTTTTGGCCCATATACATATATTTGGCCTTGATGAGAATCAGTCCCTTCCGAATATGAAACTGGAATGCTTTCTTGCCTTTTTTATTTTATTTTTTTTATTTTAATTGTCAAAAGCAATGCACATGTTGAATTGTTGAATGTACATTCTTTTACTGGGCAGGTGTTTTCTCTGTAAAAGCAGCTTCTTTGGGATAGAATTCTTCCTTGGCTTATCCTCTGTAAAGCAGAGTGTTCCAAAATGTGGTATATGGAAACTTGGCTACAGTGAGCTCCTATGTCCATGTTCTGCACTGTTTTAGAATATCATCTCATGTCTTTTTTTTTTGTGCTGTTCATTTTTAGTAAAGGAAAATATTTCTATATATGCAGTGTCTTTCTTTTGTACTGTTTTTACAACAGCTATCCCAGGCAGCAGCTAGTATTGATAACAGGGTCCCCACCCCTGCCTCAGTTGCTAGTGCTGATACGAATTCCCAGCAACTAGGACCAGATGCACCAATGCTAGAAAGCAAATCAGAAGTTAAAAATGAAGAAACTGAGCCAGAGACTAGTGAGACACAAGTGGAAGCTAAGACTGAGGTAAATGAGATTCTATACAGTTTAACTGAAAGCAGTGATAGATATAAAAGCACTTAATGATGTGTCTGAAATGGTGAGTTAAGGTGGCGAGAAGAGGGTAGTTACTGGAAAGTAACTGTCCTGAGGAAAGCCATGGCTTGACAGCCTCATAAACTTATATTTTGAATGAGTGAAGTTTGAGACATAGATGTAATGGTATGTCTTCTTGCATCTTTTCTTAAGGCTGAGGAGGATTTACAAGGATCTTCACAAACAAAAGAAGAAGCGGATGGAACAGAAATGAAACAGGAGCCGATGGAAATAGAAGAGAAGAAACCTGAAATAAAAGTAGATACTAAAGAGGAAGAGGAAAGTGGCACTAATGGAACCACTTCACAGTCCACATCACCATCTCAACCCCGCAAAAAAAGTATGTATATGAAAACTGAAATTCTCTTGTTTA